CCAAGAGCAGACGGGCAAGCCTTCGTGTTTAAGGTTTGGGTTGGAGGCCGGGATATAGGAGGACATATTGCGGCCACAATTAATGGCTCTGGGCACCTACAAGATGATGGCCTCTATAACTTCGACGAATCAGGACATTTGCGGATCCGTTCAGAGCTAGCCCTCACCCCTAAACCCCACACCGTACACCCTAAACACCCTGCTGAATCCTGAATCGCCGCAATAACCCATACGAATCCATCGTGCCGGACAGGACACTGAGATCTGGCTGTTTGGTCTGATCGAACGATGTTGAATGTCTCGAGAAGCAGGTCCTTGGGACAGTAGAATAGCTTTGGGGATATATATTATATTGTTTAGGTTAGGACCGGTATGTCGGTGTTTGGGTTGGGATTGAGGTGCTGCGGGAGTACAAGAAGCCACGAAATGAAAGTAGTTCAGGCTTCATGAGGTTGCCGAATTTGGGCCTCCACATTCAAGCTAAGCGGCTCTGAACCTTTCGGAAAGAACCCTCCGAAGACTGCAAACACGAGTGGCCTTTGAACATACCAACTACCCCGAGGCCTATTATTACGGGTACCCGACAACCAGAATATGACAAGCAGTTCTTCAATTATGCAGCCCAACCCGTCTCAACCCTAAGCGAGGCCAAGACCTTGTAGTAGAAGCCAGAAAGCTGGAACATCGGTCTAGGAGGATTGGTGCTTAGATCCCTTCTACTTTGCCTTAACATGTTCCAATTTTCTGGCTTCTACTATGGATCCCACAAGCCCGACAGGACACCGGATGACAGCTGTGTTGGGGGCCGCAGCAGCATGCACCTGGGAACACCAGAAGGGTTAGTCGTTCAGGATTTGTGTCTGAGGTCCGAAGTGAGTGCGTATCGAATGTGGGTTCTCCTACACTAACATCGCAAGCTTTCTGACTTAATGCGACTAATTTCAGACTACGGCTCAGACCTCATTCGGTTGGACTTAGGCTTTCAAGATTTGTGGGCTTGGGTGATTGAAAACGGAGTCAGAGCCACATAACTTCAGCACCAAAGAATCCTGAACATGTGCTGCTGGGAAGCTATTTCAGTAGCCAGGTGAAAGCAAGTGGCATGGCATCGATCGGATCGTATGAAACCGCTTGCTGAAAATATTCTACAATATCGAAAGAGACCTGATGTAGAGGCGAGCACAAGCAGAGGCACATGTGCAAACAGCATGCATCAGCCAACTCGCGAAGGCAGAGATATCTTGAAATACAACATGTTGAATTGTAAACATGCTGGCCGGACAATCTGATGTCACTACACCGTACTTGGCGTAGATCCTCATGCCCACTGGCAGCTTCGGCAGCTTCGGGGCCATAATCAAAAGAGGTGTACCTGCCATGAAATGTACCCAGCAACTATCCCCAAACCCGTACATATACACGAACTAGCTTGCAGACTGTGGCAATGGAACGATCTTTGCACTCGCAATCGTATCTGTGAGTCTTTGCCCGAAAGCGTGAATCCCCTGTGCCCGGCCACAAGACAGCCAGGTTTCTGGAACATGGATCTTATGAAATTTGAGCAGATTGCTGGACGAATCTGCGAGCAGCTGCTGGCACTTGAAGGCGGCTTCTAGGACGAAGTAGAAAATTAGTTTATAACTTAAGGGGTTAAGAGCATAGGGCTCAAGATATTGGGCCCCGACTCTCCTAAAATAATCAACCACCCAGAATAATAGTCCAAGCTTATCCTTCAATCCCCAGCATGGCTGCTATCCTGCCACAAAACCCCTGGATCATCAGCTCGGCAACTGTGCGGCGATCAGCTCGCCAGTCGGTCAGATCAAGAGACCTGGGCATTGGATTCTTTCCGACTTAGGGTTTGAGGCTTGGGAATTAGGCTTTGGGGTGTTCTTTCTGAAACGAAAACCCGAACAAAGAAGTCAACACCACCCTGTTTAGATTTAGACTAGCCACCCTGAGTGGATTCGAGAGCCAGCCAGGAGTGGCAAGCTTTGTCACAAATCTTCTTGAGCTTGGCATCATCCCAGGTATTGTCCTTGTCCGTATTCTTCCTCAAGCCGGCCTCTTCAAGGCAGGACATGGCGTGTCTCCAGAATTCAGCCTCGGCAGGTGAACAAAGGATTTTTACAGGGGGGCACACAGGACCCGAGTCTATATATTCTAAGCAGTCTAGACACCTGGGCACTCGTTGGGTAGACAACTTTGCTGTGGATATGCAACTCGAAGCTAGCCTTGATCGCATCCCAGCGTTTGCCAGCGAAGACACAGAACGGGGGCCGATAGCGGCGAGCGAAGATGGGTCGCTTCTCCTTGGGCTCGCCATCCTGCTCATCCTTTGTCTCCTTGGGCTTGCCCTTGCGATCCAGCTCAGAGGCCTTGATCTTTGACTCGTGACCATCGTCTGTTGAAGGATCTGCCTTCGACTTCGGGGGCCTTCCTAGCTTCTTACCGGGGCCGTTCGAAGCCTCAGCTTCGACCTTCGCCGAAGCCTTGGCTTCGGCTTTGGCTTTGCTCTTAGCTTTAGCCTTAGCTTTGCTCTTAGCCTTAGCCTTAGCTTTAGCCCTGGGCTTTCGCTTGGAACCCTCGTCATCATCATCATCATCCTCTTCCTCCTCTTGCTCCTGCTTGCCCTTGGCTGCAAACTGCGACTCACGTGTGAGGAACTCCGTGGGCTGGGCATTGAAAAGATCAGACTCGTCAAGATCCGGATCAACCTTCGATGCACTTGCACCTGAAGCCTTCGGCGACCCCGGCACTGCAGCTGCATCAAACTCGTCCTGTAGGCACTTCGCCACAGGAGACAAGTCCGTGACCTGAGTCTCCTGCTCTGCTGGGGCCGTCTTCTGTTGTTTCCACGGCC